GTATAATCTTAGAATTCTCTAAAGAAAAAATATTAAGATATTTATATAATTTAGGAGGTAATTCTTTAATCTTTAAACTAAGAGACCTTAATTCTTCTTCTTTTAGAAGTTATACTTACTTAGATAACTTTATAATAGTAAATACTATTATATAGTTCTAGTATATCTTTATAAACTTATATAGAGTTAGGATTAAGTAAGTAGGAGTCTTAAACTACTACTAATAATTCTATAGTAAAAGATAGATATAAAGATTATATAATATAGTTATAGAAAGGAGAATAGGGCTCCCTTCTAATTATAGATTATAATTAATTATAATATATACTTATTTAAAGCTTCTTTTTATCCCTCTAGAATTATAGGTAGTAATAGAGACTTTCTAGATCTTATAAGTAGAAGTAATAAAGTTATTAATAGCTCTAATAATAGGGGCTATAAATTTTACTTATTATAGTTTCTAGAACTTTATAAAAATAATACTAATAATATTAACCTTAGTATAACTATCTAGATCTATATATATTTTAAGACTATTTACTAGACTTATTAGAATATAAAAATAGTAAGTTATCCCTACTTCTAGATAGGAGATTAAAGATATAGGTTTTACTCTAACCTCTTATTATTTTTTATTATAAGTAGTTAAACTTTAGTAGTCTTTTTAGTATATTAATTTACTAAGTATTCTTTACTCCTATATTTATAGTATTTTAAAGGTTTACTATCTTTATTAAATTAATTTTATTAAGGTTTTAATCTATTATTATTATTAGGATAAAAATATTTAGATAAGTTATCTTCTTAGGGCTTTTCTTCCTAGGGTTTCCCTAATTCTTTCTTCTTTTATTTCTATCTCTATTAGAGTAAGGTCTAGTATTTAGATACTTATAATACTATTTTATCTCTAGTATTAGGTAGTGTATCTAGGTGCTCTTATATATAGATATATAACTCTATTATAAAATAACTAAAGAAGTTTAGTGCCTATTACTTTTTAGAATATTAAGAAAAATACTATTCTAATATATCTAAATAGATATAAAATTCTTATAGGTCTTTATCAGAGCATTAATTAGTATTATATAATTATATAATTATCTTTAACTTAATAGTTATGGAATCCTAGATTAAGTTAATTATCTATTCTTAGAAGAACTACTAGGAATACTTAATATTTTAGTAGTCCTCTATTAATAGTTCCCTAACTTTACTATACCATCTCTGCCTGCAGGTTAATTCTATTTATAAGATTATAGTAATAATTTTAAATTTATTAGATTTATACTTCTTTAGAGCTCTCTAAAATATATATTCTATATCCTAGATCTATTCTTCCCTCTTTTAGAAGGAATACTTTAAGGTAAAAATAGGGAGATTCTTAAACTTAATCTCTTATTTATCCTTAAAGAGGATATAGGTATTATTTTAGTAAGTAATTAGTTTATATTTAGGTTTATTAGTAGACTTCTATATCTACTAGTTCTTTTTAAGTATAGTAATATATTAGAATAGCTATTAGATTTCCTTATTAGATATCTAGTAAGGCCTTATAGCTATAGAAGAGGATTTACTTCTCTTAGAAGGTATATTATCTATATTCTTCTGTTATTTAGTTAATATATTACTAAGGGGTTTCTATAGTTAAGATAGAGATATAGGAATAACCTCCCTTAGTATATTAATATTAGTAGATATTATAATTAATGCTTAGGTAGTTAAAGAAGAAGGATTAGAAATTATAAGGATAATCTACTAGATAGAGTAGATAAGCCTATTAACTAGGTAAGCCTCTTAGAAATAATAAAGGATAGGGTACTTAGTTAGAATAGTATAGTAGAATAGTAGATTTATTAATAATAAGACTAATCCTTATCTTCCTAACCTATTAGACAAGGGGGTCTATATATATCTTTATTACTAATATATTATGTTTACAGTAGTCTTTTGCAAGCATCTTAAGGCATAAAAATAGGTAATTAAAAACAGTATGCTTAATATAGCCATCTGTAAGCATAATATGAATCAAGGGAGAATGACATGGAAGCTATACTCAATCTGTTATAATTAGGTGAATCCGCCCAATCCGTTTTAGATAGAAATCACTAATTTCTAGTATTTCACTAATAATATTGATATCACTAGATAGCCCCTGATCTAGGCTATCTAGTGATATAAATATGAATTTAAAATACCTAGTGGTTGCTGAGATATAGAGGAATAATCATTTTTATTATGGGGTGGTATGAAAGTGGTGTAGATATATATATATATATATAACTAATAGTTAATAACCACTATAGTTTAAAAATGATTTTTTAACCACCCCCCATTCAGCCCTATAGATATTGAATTAAAATTTTAGATATAGATTAGTATAATGATAATTATAATATATTTCATATAAAAATGATAATTTTTAATTAGCATAGTGATATTATGATAGATAATATGGCATTTAATGAGGTATTGAAATTTAAAAACTATTAAAATTTACTAAGGGGTAGCAGTTTAACCAACTTGGTATTAAACTGAATCTAACTATGGTTAGTTAGTAGGGGCCTAGCTAGGCCTAGCTAGGCCTAGTGGCGGGTTTTTGCAGTGAAACTGCCACTAACCTAGATCAGATCCAGGTTGGCTGTGGGTTCTAAAATTTAAACTTGAAATTGCAGCAGTTTGGTGCTAACTGGTTTTGAACTTGCCCAAACTTGCACCAAATGCAACTCTAAACTATACTAATATTCTATAAAGATAATAAATATATAATAGTAGAATTACTATAATATTAAGTGAAATATTAAGTATTAAGTATCTAGTAATTAATATAATATATATAATATATTAAAATCTAACTTAGGTTAGATTTCTATATATAATTTTAAGTTTATAATAATTTTATTAGGGGTGCATATTTAGTAGTAAATATTAATTTATTAAGTATATATTTCTTAAAGACTTAAAGTTAAAGTATTAAATAAAAAATATACTATAATCTATAATTTATTTAGTTCTATTTACTTTAAGTTATAAATAGGTAGTAGTTATTAAATAATAGATAAATATATATATATAATAATAACCCCTAATTTTTTATACCTAAATTAAACCCTTCTTCTTATTTATTTTTATTTATATATAAATACCTCTCTCTATATATAGAGCCTTTATTTATATATAGAGTACCCCCTATATTCTCTTTCTTATATATAGAATAAATTATAATTAATCTTTAGTCTTAACTTATTTACCCTTAATCTAACTTAAGTTAGATTTTATAATAAGTACTAAGAGAAAGAAGAAGAGTCTTAGTAAAGTAATATTAATAATAAATAATAAATTATCTAATAAAATTAGAGATGTATTGCTAGGTACTATAATTATTAATATTTATTATTTAAATATTAAATAGCTAAATAGTAGGAACTAGAAGCTTAATACTAGCTATATAGAAAATCTCTATAAAAATATAGGATCTAGAGTTTAGTGCTTTAATATAGATACTAGGATAAAGGCTAATATAACTTAGAATAATTAAGACTAACTACTAGACTATATAGTTACTAAATATATAGTAATAAATATTATACCTATACTAAAAAATAAAGATAAGGTAGTTAAGAAGTAGAGTACCTAGATCTTATAAAAAATTATATAGAACTCTATAGCTAATCCTTCTTTAAGTAAGGATATTATAATTTATAATTAGTCATAGGGGCTACTACTAATAACTCTTAATATAGATTAGTATTAAAAGGCTACTCTTAAATTACTATAATTAGAACCTAGCATAACCTAACCTAACCTATTTTTTAACCTAAAATCTATATAGGTTCTTATTCTCAGAACCTAACCAGCCTGTGGGTTAGTAATACTAGGCCTGGGCCCAGCCTATCCTAGGTTTAGGCCAGTTTGGGTTTGGGTTCCTGGGTTGGGTTTAACCAGTCTAATCTAGAGTATTCCTTGTATAATATTCTAAAAACCCTTTATATATTCTAATATTAGGGGGAAAGCAGGCCTTAGAGTACTACTCTAGGAATCTAGGAGATAAGTAGTAAGTACCCTTTAGTAGGTTTAAAGAACTTACTTATTAAAGATTATTAGACTTCAGGCATATTTCTTAGATATTTATAGAAGAATTACTCTTTTAATCTCTTTATTATTATACTTATTAAAATTAATTAAGTATATAAATTTTATAAATACTTCTTATAGTATTAGTATATTATCTAATTATCCTTAAGTAAGTATTAAAGAAGGGATAGGAGTAAGTTAGATATATTAAGGGGTTTTAGATAACTTATATCCCTTAGGGAAGCTATTTTACCTATTTATAAAAAAGTACCTTATTACTAGCTTAAGTGTAGAATATTTAGGCACCTAAATCTTCACCTGAAGGTGCTGGAACTTGGGCAGCAAAGCAGTGATAGGATAGATGCTGGGAGGGGTGAGCACTGATATATAAATGCTGTTGTATGTTTTTTCTTCACCCATATCTTAATGTTAGATCCAAACCGGTAGGGTACTGCCGTTCAGCTTCCTGAGACCACCCCCCCACAGTTCCAAGTCCTCGAGAAGATTCAAGATCGACCCAGCTCATTCATCCGAGTACAAGGCCGAGGCAGTTGCTTCAGGGATCTCCTTCGGCAACGTTTTGCTACCTGATCGGGCAGTGGCAGCAGCTATGTTGGGCTGCCCTCGCTAAACGCCCCCGGCCCAGTTTATGGATTGAACAGTCCATTCCTACAATCGCAATCTTCCTTCAACTGCTCAATCCCAGAAGTGGCCGACATGTTCTGCGAGTCCACCTACACGTGGAGATTAGTTCGGTGTGAATTATCGGTTGGCCGGATACATCCACACCACAGTAGATACTCAAGCCATTAGTTTATCATCAATCCCATCAAAGGTTTTCTAAGCCAGCTTCCAGTGATAAAGTCTGGGCCTTCTGTAGCAAACATGTCCACATCTCAATCAAGCTGCAAAAAGGAACGAGGACATACATAAAGTGCTTTCTTCATCTTCCATCCCTTTCTCCACCCCCTCCTCCGTATCTGCATTTTCCATTAGCTGCGAATGAGAAGGCTAAAGAGACTCCGCAACAATGACAGGCTTCGGTTGGTAAGGTTCCTCGAGGTATCGATCCTTCATCATTCAACCGCTTTCCCCTTGCTGTAATCGCCTGTTCCAGTCTTTCAACACTGCTGAAACCAATTATGGGGCTTGTGATACGCTTGTTGATCCACGCAAGAGCAACGTGGGCCATTGGCCAGCCGCGCTTTTCTCCGATCTCGATCACCCGTCTTATTATAGTCAGGTCTTGCTCTGACAGCCCAGAAGCTTGCGAGTCTTGTTTCTCTAGTTCGCTCCTAGGGGTCAAGCCAAACTTTGATGGTGGCCGCGCCAGGTGGCCTCGGCAAAGAGGAGCCCAAGGGATCAACCCAACACCGGTGTCGTTGCAGAATCGATTCATTTCGCGCTCTTCTTCACGATACAATAAATTGTATTGATTTTGCATGCTGATGAACTTCGTCCAGCCGTTACGTTCAGCGCAGAACTGCATACGGGCGAATTGTGTCGCCCACATACTGCTCGCCCCGATGTAACGAACACGTCCTGACCGGACAAGGTCGTCCAGGGCTTTCATTGTTTCCTCGATTGGAGTCGTTGAGTCGAAACGATGGATCTGTAACACATCGATATAGTTCGTGCCCAATCGTTTGAGAGATGCCTCAACTAACACCATCAGCTTGACTGGCGCCAGCCCGGATTTATACAAATAGTTAGCCCAATCTCACTACCCAAAACCTTCCGTACACACGCAGCATATACTCCAAACCATTTTAGAACCCAGGCATAAGCGAGCGTGGGCTCGGAAGCCCGGGCCCCTCACTGTAACCCACTTAAAGGTTCTGAACCATCTAAACATCAGTAAGTAGCACTTTCGTCAAGATGTAGCGGTTCAACTTATCCGGTCACATCGGACTCAAAAGGAAATTATCTCGGCCGAAGAGCGGCTTCTGGTTCCGAATATGGAATGTACTGCGGCCGAGTAGTGCGGGTGATGGGCCTTCTCACGCATTGAAAACCTGAGGGAATCCTCGTGGACCTAGAGCGCCCAACAAAAAGTCAATTGCTTGTATAAAGCTTTCATACTACTTTTCTTGGGATAATGCACCCTCAAGTACAAACGGATTTTCTAGTAGTTGGAGATGGGCCGGCGGGAGCGGCTTTGGCAGCTTTCCTTGGCCAAAATGGTAAGCATAGTCAGAACGCTACGGCAGGAGAAAGGGTTATAATCAGCAAAATAGGTCTAAGAGGACTTGTTATATCGCAAGCTCCTGCAACGGCAGATACGCCTAGGGCCCATACATTCAACCCTTTCGGCTTTGGTATCGAACCCGTTTTCCTAGCTTGTCTTCTCCATGAACTGACGGTGCTTCAGAGTGTCTCCGCGACATTGGCCTAGAAGAGCGGGCGCTGGGCCAATCATTGCGTGGACCAGTCTTTCAATCCATGCGCTGGTGCTACAGCATGGGTGGACAGGAATACGGAAGAGTTCGTGCATGGGGCGACCATCCGTGCTCCATGGTGAGCCTTTGTTCCCAGTCATCCCATTACCAATCTAACGCAAACCCTTATACACAGGGAGCTACATCGTCTATATCTCCGTGTGACTATGCCGAGTTTACCCGGATGCAACTGGAGCCCCTGCTCATACAATACGCTTCGCATCACAATTTTGAAGTGCGCTTCTCGACCGAGCTGATTGACATTGAACGTGTTAAGGGCGACGACAAGGCAGAGTTTACTTGCACAGTTCAGGATCATGTTTCGCACCTTACGTTTAAAATTCGTACCCGATATCTGTTCGGGGCGGACGGGGCGCGTAGCAGCGTAGCTCGCTCGTTGGGCTTCAAGTTTTTGAATAGTCCGAGCGGCGGTAAGGCTTGCAACGTTCTGCTCCGCGCAGATTTGGACGAAATACTTCTCGAAGAGCGCCGCGCTGGGCTACGCTGGATTTTGCAGCCAGATCGCAAGACTTTCCCTGGGCTTGTGGCGCATCTGCGTGCGGTTAGGCCCTGGAAAGAATGGGTATTGGTTTGTTTTGGCCCATCTGGCTCAGAACCATTTGAAGGGTTGACAACTGAAAGCCCGGAACTCGTCGATTGTGTGCGCGAGCTCATTGGGGTCGAGTCAATTACCATCGATATTCTGCGACTCGACCGCTGGACCCTGCGTGAGAGTGTTGCGGAAGAGTTCTCTCTCAATGATTCCCAAGCTTTTCTTGTCGGCGACGCTGCACATCGCCATCCACCCGCATTTGGTTTGGGCAGCAATACATGTGTTCAGGATGCGTACAATCTCGCATGGAAGATTGCGTATGTGGAGAAAGGTATCGCAGGCCCAAGCCTGCTCCAGTGGTACAGCCATGAACGCCAGCCGGTTGGCGCTATGCTTGTTTGAGAGTCTAACAAAGGGATCCGTGCTCATTCGGACATTTGGAAAGCATTGGGAATGTTTGCTCCCACCCGTGAAGAGGGATCTGAGGAGCTTGCTAAGCTGTCAGAAGCCTCGAGGGAGGGAGCAGAACGCCGAGCTAAGCTGCACGGTGCTTTGGAGGCTGTAGGACAAGAAGTTCGCAGCCTGGGTGCTGCCTATAACCAGTGGTACACTTCACTGGCGATATATCATAATGATGAAAGCAGCGCCAGGCCAAGTTTAGAAGGGAACCCGATCCTGAATGTCCAGATTAGCACATACCCGGGTAGCCGGCTACCTCACGCTTGGCTAGATATCCAGATACGTGGAAAGCTTACCTCTACTCATGACCTGGCCGGAGGAGGTGCTTCCTGCCTGTTTCTGGGAATTTGGGGAGATGCTTGGCGGCACGCTGCACATAGTATTGCTCACGTCACTGGTATTCCTATAAATGTGTATGGGATAGGGATTGGGCTGGATTTTGTGGATGTTTATGGCGAATGGCGATTGAACCGAGGAGTCGAGGAAGACGGGTGTGTTCTGGTTCGACCGGACAGATTCATCGCATGGAGGTCGCCCCAGATGGTCTCCAGTTGTGAGGGAAAGTTGATGCAGATCTTGGACAGTATCCTGTCCAGGAGTGAGCTAGATGTGACCAGGGACTAAATTAACTTTTGGTTGTTGAAATAGACAGTTCTAATTTATCGCATTTAGTAGTGTTTTGGGATGGGCGACTCACTTATAAAATACATTAGTTGGGCTCCTGCCAGGGCCCCCTCCAATGGATGCACATACGTGCTGACAGGTAGATAGCTTTGTTTCTTCTTCTTTGTTTCTTCTTTCTTTCCAACTGGAACTCCCGTCGACGGTCGACCTTATCACTCAAATTGAATACCTACGTTGTCTTCTCTCTCTTGATCTGGCTATCCGGTCACAACTTCGACAGGTTATAACTCAACAGCAATACAAATTATTAAAAATCTGAAATGCTGATGTGGCTCTTGGTCGAAGTCAGATTTTTCCTAATGGTGAAGGCAGAAGGGAGTGCGGGTTATGTACGGCCAGGAGTTGGGGGATGCCGTGCAAAACGGGATGATGTTACGAAAGCGAGCAATGGTGCAGCATATAGAGATGATATGAGTCACTATGATTGGATACCATGATCTAGGAGACTCTAAACTCTCATATCCAGTGTTTCTGTAAACTGACGTCGTCTGAACTAATTATTGGCCTGTGGCAAGACGCTGGAAAATCTTGGGGCCAAACTCCGCTATGTCGGTGTGGACGGAGTAGTCCTTCCCATCAACCACCTTATCCCAATTGTTCCTGACAGTCTCAATGGTCCAATATTTGTCCGCAGAGCCAAAGAAGCCCTTGGTCTCAGCCAAGAAGATGCGGGTAACAAGCCTACTAACAGCGGCGACAGCTTCACCATTGACTTTGGAGCCCTCGTGGACCAACCACGCCACGGTGGGGGCGACATCGCGAGCGGGCATGTGCTCCTTCATGAAGTGCTGGGTCTGCTCATCCTGAACGCTCGCAGCCGAACCAGGAGTGAAACCCATAGGTGCAACTGTGTTGACAAAAATGTTGTGCTCCTTTCCTTCAATCGCGAGAGACTTGGCCAACCCCAGAAGGCCAAGCTTAGCAGCCCCATAAGCTGATTGCTAGGCGCTCCCAAACATAATGGGCGACGTGATCAGTACGACGCGACCAAACCTCTAGCTTTTCATGTATGGCAAGGCTGCCTGCGTGACGTTCCACGATCCTCCCAGGTGGACCCCTAGCATGCCCCAAAGCTGAGAGTCTGAAATGCGATCGAAGTCAGAACCATTGGCTCCTCCGGCGTTATTGATGACGATGTCGATGCGCCCGAATTTATCGACTGCAGTTTTCACGAGGGCATTCGCAAGCTCGCGGTCTGCCACGTTACCAACGTGGGCGATGGCCTTCCCACCAGCATCGATAATATCTTTTGCTGTGGCCTCTGCCGTTGCAGGAGTGGTGCTGTTCACAACTACTGCAGCCCCAAGGCGGCCGAGGAGGAGGGCATATTCGCGGCCCAAACCACGACCAGAGCCGGTCACAATAGCGACGCGACCGTCGAACCTCAGAGAAGCGCTGGACATTGTTGAATTAACGGTGACCAAAAGTAAGAGATGTGGCTGGCGATTAACAAAAGCGCGGTAAAGGACAAGAATTGCCGGGCTAGTTGACTGAGGTATGGTACGCAAAAGGTGCCATCAAGGTTTTTAACCTACGGTCATCCGATACAGTCGGGCTCTTCTCCTGTGTCTTGCATAGTAAATGCGGAGTTTGGATAGAACTAACTTTTTCTCCTCCGCCGAGCCAGCAGGAAATCAGACACTCCGAGGAATTCAGGCAGGTGAATCCCGGTCCACCATCAACAGCGCAGAAACTCAGCGCAGAGTTTGTATACTTTCACCTGGCGGCCCTTGATTTATTCTAACGTATTTCAAGGACCTGCTTGGACCTGCTTCTGTATCTCTGGTTTATCTCTGCAAGAATGAAACGTTTGGCTCGGGATCCACTACGGACACTAGAGCGCTTCCCCACTTGTGCCGCCACTCCGCAGCGCGTGTCAAACTCCGCATCGAGATTGGGGAAAATCAGAGGGTTGATTTGAAATCGTGGCGTTTTGCCGGAGCCTTAGGCGTTCCGGCTCCCGAAGTACTGCGAATCGCACCCGGTGGCTCTCCAGAATTTCCGTGGCCGGCGAGCGTCATATAAATGGGAGGGTCTACACAATTTCTGGCACGAAAATCAAAATTACTGGGGAATTTATTATATCTTCTCTCATTCCATCTAGTCAGTTTGTCAGGGTATACCGCTAATTGCGAGTCGTCAGCGATGTTTTCTCCAGCCAACGACATCCCAGATTTATCTGGTAAGGTGTACATTGTGACAGGTGGGAATAGCGGAATGTGAGTAAAGATCCGCATTACCAGATCGGTATAGAGATGGCTAATCAGTCTCAGCGGGAAATTTACTGTGCTACATCTTGCACAGCACAATGCTAAAGTCTATATGGCTGCGAGATCCCTTCAGAAGGCTACAGCGGCTATAGAGGAAATCAAGGCCAGAACCCAAAGAGCAGATTTAAACATATCTTTTTTAAAGATGGATATGCTAGACTTGAGTTCGGTTAAAAGTGCGGCAGGGGAGTTTCTTAGGTACGATCACCAAGGTTACTTATTGCTGTTCTGAGCTGCTGTCAAACAGATTTTAACCCTTACTATGGACAGCAAGGAGAAGCGGTTGCACGGACTGGTAAATAACGCAGGAATCATGGCTGTGGCAAATGGAATTTCCGAGGACGGGTTCGAATATCAGTGGCAGGTAAGACGATTTGATTTACCAAGGGAGTCCTACTGCTTATTAATTGTGTCTAACAGACAAATTATCTTTCACACTGGCTGCTCACCTTCCTCCTGACTCCTGTCATGGAACTGACTGCCACTACAGTGCCAGCCGGCACTGTCCGTATTGTTAATGTCTCTTCGTCAAATCACAAGATGGCGCCGCCCCAAGGCATTGATTTTGAAGACATTAATCTCCAAGGGCCAGGCCCTAGCAGCAACCCTTGGGTAAGGTACGGCCAAAGCAAACTCGGAAACTACCTTCACGCTCTTTCACTTCATGACAAGCTCAATAAGAAGGGGATATGGACGGCGCCTCTACATCCTGGTATTGTAGACACGTAGGTACATTAACCTGTCGATAACGTCATATGCTAATAAATTTACCACCAGCAACCTGAGCGCCAATATTCAAATGTTTGCAGTCTCGATTCTGTCCTCGAGACCTGTAATATGGCTACTTCGTAGAGTCGGCTTCATGCTCAACACCGACCAAGGGAGCTGGACCCAGCTTTTCGCAATCGCAGGAAGAGGTTTCGATGCAGCACTATCAGGAACCTATCTTGAGCCCATAGCAAAGAAGGGCACTGTGAAAATGCCACGGGGGGTTACATCCGAAGATCTGCAAAACCGGCTGTGGAAATGGACAGAGAGAGAGATGAAAGCTAGAGGTCTCATCAGTTGATCAATGTATCCTTACCGTCGAGCAATCTGGCTGCTATGTGCCAATTGCTGTGACGTAAGTTAATGAACTCCCCAAGACCTCATGCCTGCTCTCTGCATTTATTGTGCTCATAAGGAGTTAGTGGCGAATGGCATGAGTTGTCTCCTAACCCTCTCTAAACGCATCAATCGATAGTTTGTCTTTGCTTTTGGATTAGGTGCTGTTCCTTGTTTACTGCTTGCAGATTGTTCTTAGTCTTTGTAATACGCCCCCGACAGAAATAAAAAGTACGTGCAGCAAGTTGTTCGTTCAGCATCCTTTTCTGGTATCTTCTAACATCAGAAAATCTTCGGGGCAAGTGATGACTTGAAAGATACGGCAGCAAGCTGAAAAGCACTCCCGGTGCCAAAGATGCGAAGGTGGGCCCGGCCCTGCAGACTAAATAAGATAGGTCACATAATCACATTGGCTCAACATCAGCTTGGTGGCTTATTAGGAACAGCGTCAGTTCATGCATTTTTGAGACCCTGATTCCCGGTACGTTGACTAATTAAAATCATTTAGATTATGAAATTTGAGATGCCACATGTGAATATTTCTATCCAGTTACCCTGATTTTGCTTCTTCTTTCTCCCTATAGTCCCCTTAATAATATAAGAGGTCCGTTGACGACCTCCGGCTGATTGCCAGATTCTACCCAGAACAGGGCGAATGGCCCTAGCCTGAAGTGGCTCAAGAGGAAGCAGCCGGCCACGTCATCATTATTCTTCAGGGCTAGTTAATGCTGGGATGAGGGCCTGCTGCATTAGTGCAATAAAGTAAGCCATTAGCTGAGTACCCCAACCCCCTTGCGTGGTGCTGACGATGTGATGTGATTGTAGTGGACAATGCACATATTCCTGGCAACAAGAGGACCTAGAAATAGGTGAATGTAGTGTAACAAAACCAAATCATTAATTATGATATCAGCACCTTATGCCCTGTACTAAACATATAAAGTCACAAAGGTCCGTTGAATCCCATCATCTCTCAACCTATTTTCAAGAATTCCACCAAAGTGATCAAACAAACATATTTATCACGTTAATTTACGTTTAAACCCTCCACAATGAGACCCACCGTATTGCTTGCTGTTCTTGCCGCCGTTACAGGGGTTACTGCAATCAGATGTACCCAGGGGCTTACGTACTGTGGATCGTCGTTGCTCAAGAAGGGTATGTAGAACTCCTCGTTCCCTGAGCTCATTGGTGGAGATATTAAGAGGTGCTGGATAGGGAACTACTTCCAGGACATTAAGGATTCTCTTGGGAGGGCGGGTCGGCCTACCGATGACCATCATATCCTTGATTCACGCTTCCTGTGCACGTCAGATGAAGACTATTTGGTTTGGAGGGACACATGCTACCCAGAGGAATGCAAGGACAATGGCCAGGGGAAGGACGATACATGTATTGGAGGTCCAGAAGAAGAGTGATGTGCAAAGTGAGCGACGGATGTCAGGATGTCACTGTGCTTTCGGAAACAAGCAATCAATTCGTGTGATTTAGAGCCTCGCTATAGGTTTTTCCCTGCTTGTACAGGTTTTCCCTATAGCTTCGTGCAAATGCAGAGGCTTTCGGCAAGGAAATGCTATTATCAGATATCTCCCCGTATTCGTAGTATCTGGGAATCGCCCCTCGTCTGAAGTTAGGAAATCGACCCGTCCAGCGGAAACTGAAAGGTAAGTCCCGCGCAAGAAAATACTTGGGCAGTTCCAGGCGCAATGTAGGTAAGCCATGATAGAAAGCAGCTTAGCGGGTTATCTCGCTACCGGAAGACCGGTCCGCGGTTATTGAAGCAGTCCTTGATTTTATCCTAAGTATTACTACGCTCTCGACGACGAGAATAGTTGAACCAACCCAACCACCTTTATGGTGACGTTTATCATGTTGCAGATAAGAGCCTTGTCTTCAGCTTCACAAGAAAGCCAAAGACAGGATTTGCGCCTTGGTCGAGCACGCGTCGGTGTTCGAGACCTCCTTCACTTTGTTCCACGCACATAAGCCTGTGATACTGCTATCAAGGATATGCGCAACTTTCTTCTTCATCTCACCGGGGATAGGCCAAAGAGCAGACGTATGCACGATATGTGCAAGCAAATCCTACGCTGAGGAATCTCCTTCGCATTGAACTCTAGCGAAGAGGTTGTTCGCTAGGGCCTTCGAAGACTTGTCACGGCTGTGAGAGGGTTTGATAAGGAAGATGGATTCATGGAAATCATCTGCAAGAATTGTCATTCTGCACTCTGCTGGCTGAGGATGTCTGCTCGCTTTGGGCTCTCTCTTCTTGTCATCCTCGGCTTAGACTCCGTCAAGGAAACATTTTTCACAATGCTCATTGGGACATTATGATGTTTGGTCTGCCTTTACACCAGGTTGAAACAATCTTCCAAAACCCCACCATGCTGAGATCAACATTGAGATTCATTGCATCAGTTCCTTTCCTCCTACATAGTATCTGAGTGTGCGACATATTCTATCGACAAGGCCTTCTTGAAATGAGGGTATTTTGTGGATCTCGTCAGCTCAGAACAATCTAGCTTGAACAGTCTTGAGAAGACGACCATTCTCTCGGACCTCGATATCTTCAATTGACCAGCTTCGACTCAGTGAGCTGATCATCACTCCTCCTTCATCTATACAACAGCTTCATCTCACTATCATTTTTCTTCGTTATCTACATCTCGATTGATAATCTTGCGCTAGCACTTGGGGCTGCTACATAAACGTCCTTGTTCTTTCCTTCGTTAACCCATCTGCATTCCTCGAATCATCTACCAAAACCTCAGGTCCTTGGAATATTTTTACCAACAACCTTACAAGAGCTTCGTGAATACACCACATAACCATCAATCAGCTCATAGAAGCTTACGATGCGTCGCAAGCGTGACGAAAATGAGGAAGCTCTGATTGAGCGTGCACAGAAAAAGATGCTAGAGTAAGGTCCCTTCCACATTCAAAGTTATGCATGCATGATCTAACAGACTCATATATAGACTCAACCAGCACGAGCAGTTCTCTGACTTCACATTCACAGTCCAGGATGAACAATTCTATGTTAGCAAGATCGTGCTGTCTGGTATTTCGCCATACTTCAGGAACAAGTTCGAGACAGAGTGGAGAGTGAGTCCTTCAGCAGAGGAACGTATCGATTCAGTACAATGACGGATCTAACGTGAGCCAGTTCAAATCATCTGTGGATCTGGAGTGGAAACACAGCCTCAGTGCATTCTCCTGTATGATTGAGTACATCTACACCTGCAGCTATGAGCAACATACCTGGCACCTGGGCCTCTTTCCTGTCCAACTGGTAAAGTTCCTTTTTGAGGTTTACCACCTTGCTGAAGAGTACGAGATCCCTGGTCTCAAAGAGCGAGTGCTGGAGCACCTTCCCTCCGCCGTCAACGCCTTAGACTGCCCCTGGGGGTTTTATTATCTGGTGAACGACGACTACATCTCTGACTCGGAATTGGGCAAGATCTTTGTGGCGGCCGTCGCGGATAACGTCCAGGATATGCAGGCTTTTGAAGACCTCGACATAGCGAAGCTGTATCTCGTTAAAACGCCTGAGTTCGCCGCGGACTTAGTTTCTGAGCTGATCAAGAGAAGGATCTCAAATTGCGAATGTGGCAATCGATGAGCTTGACTGACTTTCTCGTGTCGGAAGTCCTTCTCTTTTGTTCTGACACATGAATCAAAACAGCAAGATTGGAACTGAGATTTGCTGCGTTGATGCTATATTTGCCACTATTGTTGTTTTTCTCCCTTTTGACCTTAGGTGAAATACTGGTCAAGGTGCTCTGGAGGATCCCTTAGGAAAACCAGACATTATGCAGACCTTGCAAATCCCATACAGGCTACATATCTTCTCCATCATTATAGACATCACTAAGAACGGTAACTAAGAAGGCACCTAGCACAAACTGCCATCACTGCACGACTGATCACAGTGATAGGTACCAATCCAGTTATCCTCTCCATAAACATCCAACCCCATAATCCACCCATTCAGCACCTGGTGCACGTAATCCAGATTCTGGGGCATACCATGCGCCTTACCCTCAGCCGAGCAGGGGTAGTCCTGCGTCAAACCGCGGTTCCCGTTAAGCCCGCTCCCAGCAGTAAACCACCCATTGTATGAACCCAGCGCCTTGATCGCGTTACCCCCTGACGCATCAAGCTGCGACTTGAGATAGTGCGTTCCCGCGTCCACATTATCCTGGATACTATCCGTGCACTGGCCATTCGGGTAATTGTCGCACGAGACCTGCATCAGGCCTGGGGTAGGTCCACCAGCGTTGGCATTGCACGAGGACTCCTGCATAGCGATGACGGCGAGAACGACCGGTTTGACGCCGTACTTGGATGCGCTGCTTTGGAAGTAGCCGTCGTACTGGGCGCAGGCGGAACCAATGCCGTTGTAGAAGTCTTGGAGGCTGATTGTGTAGACATCGTCGATGGAGAGGAAAGGAGGGTTCCAGCCGTTGCTAGTGATGCCGGTGTTGAGCCAGTCTTCGGAGCTAGATATTGTTGTTAGCAGCAATGACACCAAAGATAAAGGAGGGCAAAGAGTAATTATACCCGTTTGGACCGGTGCTTGGGGTGACATTTTCTGTTGCACCTTGCGCCTTTGGGTTTATACCGACACCTGGGCTGGCGGACTGGGCTGTGACACCAATAGCGAGGGCCAGAGAAGTCAGAGTGATGCTTTTAAGGACAGCCATTGTTGCGCTTGCTATTGTTTGTCTGCGGTGCGGGAGAGTTGAAAGACGAATGTCTGCGTCGATCGACTCAGTCGGCAAGGGAGCTGTTTAAATAGCTCAGAGCGGATCGCTCTGCCTACCGCAGGCATAATTTCTTCGAGACATCTTCATCAAAACCAGCATGTTGATGCGAATAGACCAGTTTCTCAAAGCGGTAATTCTGCAGTCCTGACCATCATGGAACACGACCAATCAAACGCAGCAACTCTTCTATAGGGCCATAGGTCCGAGCTAGCCTAACAGGTGCGACACCGATCTGTTTGGTCTGAATCATAGCAGCGATTTCATTGGCAAGCATTGTAGCAGAGTTGTCTTAGCGTCGGGTCGGCATGTTACCTCAGTGCGTCGATCTCGGTACATGCCTGTAAGCATTTCGGCCAGTACCGGCAACAGACACGAGTATGGAATAGTCAGATAATCTCGTCTACTTTGAGACAGCTAACAAGCGCCAGCTTCGTCGACCGTCGAGTAAGTCTGACGTCTGCGTGGCATCGTCCAAGTGATTATGTCAGCAATGCCGATCGCATCGTCTCTATACCAATTTCCCCTTTAGGAAGTGCATAAGGTTACATCTGAAGTTGGGGGCGGTTTTACAGTAACGTCCTCACTTTAGTGGAGGAAAAGGGTAACATCTGCAATAGGCATTCTTCATTCGTTTGTATTTAAGACCGAGTTACAGTAGATTATAATAACCCCAAGATGTCTTCATTGACTCATCGACCAATATCTGATGGTAACGGCGAATTGTCTGAAATCGTTTCAACACGCTGAAATAGTGGCCGGATGAGATGTCGAATGTCGCCATCACACTGTCCAAATTTTCAGTAAGCACTGACTGCGACGTGAGATTGATGTCATTACCTTACTGACAGATGCATTCTAGCAGCCACTCGCGCCTCCTTGGATCAACCGTCAAGAAAAGTATGAACATCAAATCTGTGGCGCTTATCGCCTGAATTTGAGAATCTAGAGCTATTTTGAAGCAAATGTGGGCGTCCCCAGTGCCCCGTAGACTAAACTAAGCATAACCCATCTGCGGGCCGCATAGCTCCGTGGTATGGCTTCCTGAGCGTCTGGGGTAAAGGGCATATAGCAGAAATTGATGGATTCAGGGTGTCATATCAAGCTTCGATGGAGTTCTAGAGCAACAAGATTTCCAGATTGTGAGAATAACTTTGTGTGTGCGACGTACTACATGACCTCCCCGCGAAGGAGTATTCTAGACCAACGGGTAAAATTGCTTTTACAAGTGCGAGGCAATACAAGACTATTCTCTTGATGAATCATTGCTGGCAATGTTTGTGTTTCAGAGATGACTGGATTTACAGGGTCCATATCATTCTCGGGGTTTCTCCTGTAGACCAGGAAAGATAACTCTTCCACTATCCAACTATCGGCAGCACAGAGTTAAGGCCGACGAAAGGCACTGCCTCGGTCATTCTTCGCCCAAAGTCGACAAAGATTCGGCGATTCTACGAGACAAGAATGAGTGCAGAGGCAAGAATGCTCATCTAGTGTGACATAAGGTGGGATCAAGTGGCATTGCCCTTGGTATGGGGCGTTCGTTGACTCGGCAGTTTTAGGGCTAATATTCGACTTGAAGTATGGATTCTATCTTTTGTTAATAATGAAAATGTCAATCACACCCTATCTAGGACCTCCAGTTTCTTCTATGTAATTTTCACCGAGAATTCCTAGCATAGACGTATGAGTTACGACAGCGGCTCCCTACATGAGCCAACAAAAAGGGCCAATGCCCTTTTCGAAAGGTGTCAATAAAACATCCCATGGTTCATGGTTCGCCTGTTGACGAATGCAGATGGACTGTAACGGGATTGGTGGGAATATTAAGAATTTCCCTTGCTTAGTCACAAAGCTGACCACTCATCATTTGACGTCGTTGAAAAGCAAATTTTTTTGTGTTTCTGCCCCTGGCCCAGAAAAATGTAACCATGGTTCCGCCAGCTTGCACACAAAGCACCTGACTTGACGGCCTCAGGGGAGTTTCGAGGGAATTCCTATTTTGGAGAAGCCACGAATAGGGACAGTATCAAAGAGACCCCATGAAGCAGGGAACAATAAATTTGTCGTTGGATGCTTGTTCATGTGGCACATAGGCCCTGAGTCTGCGTTTTGACTTCGATCAGTTAGCATCGGCAAGCCCAGGAATGGACTGAAAGACCTCAATAGCTACAATTCTCCTAGCGTCAGAGACTGGTGGAGGAGAGCTCCACCCACAAGGCTTTAGGCCCTTCTGATATCGTTATTCGTGTCCACTTTCGCCAATAACCCGTTTGAGTGTTCTGGTCATTTCCCGGCACTTGGCCGCGACATCCAAAAGTCTAGACCTCCAGCGATATGCTCTTTGTCCTTTGAGGAGGTTTCACCTTACAATATTAAGTCTATGTTCTTTGTCTCTTGATCTTGAAACGCAAAGCATAGTAAGAGGACAATCAACACAAAGGCATACCAAAAATAATCCAGGTCCCGAGCCACGCAACTTGCCTCCAACAACCAGACTCTTATGTATTGCAGAGCCAGGGTCCCACACAGAGCCACTGGCCAGGGGAAGTGGCCAATGGCGTTGAAAAATCGTATAATTCAGGTACCACCCATAGTTTCTGGCCAATCCCAAAACAATACCAGAGATGTCCTCTTAGTGTCTTCAATCAAACTGTCCAATAGGCTACTGTCAGGCTGTCAACGAGCACACAACCGCATGGATCTAGACCATGGCATCGTCTTTGTCGGAACCCCAGTCCCATCGACTTGTCCATGCTGACGCATTCCATTCCCTGATCCATCGTCCTCGATTCTAAGGCTCTATCCAAAGGTTCAACCTCTTGAACCAAGGAAAATGACATCCACCAGCGCCATGGGTGTTCGAGAACACACATTCGACTTATAAACAGTGGGGTGGCGGGCACCAAAATTTGTTCCCAGGATGTTATAAAAGGGTCTGAGAGGGACCCCTTTGGAGTCTTCCATTTCAACCACCGCATTCATTAACCGTGTATATACACACTTCCATTCCTTCAGTCTTTTTTGGCTTGATACTTCAGACGCTCTCTTTGAATTATCGATTCGTTGTTACTCCAGTCAGTAACGACACTGCCATTCCTTCAGCCTTCTGCAACTATCTGAAGCACGCTTAACGCGACACCCACTCTCTCTCAAAATGCAGTTCACCAAGTCTCTCCTGCTGCTGGCAGCCCTCACCTCCAGCTCTCTGGCCCGTCTGCAAGGCCACGAGCGCCGTCAGTACTCCTCCACGGCCTCCTCCACAGTCGCACCCTCCTCCTCATCCTCCGCCTCTGGCGGCAGCTCCGCGTGGACCGCAACCCCAGCCGGAGGCTCCTACTCCACTGCTGGCTTCGGCAGCCGCACCTCAAACAGCGGCAGCGGCGAGACCTACGCCGGCAACGTCGGCAACCCCTGGGGTAGCAACATCATCGAGGTCTCCGCCGACTCGGCCTCCAACTACAAGAACGTCGCGCAGATCAGCGGCCAGAACACTGAGCCCTGGACCGTCGTCTTCTGGAACAAGATCGGCCCCGACGGCAAGATGACCGGCTGGTACGGCAACGCCGCCCTGACCCTCACCCTCAACGCCGGCGAGACCAAGTACGTCGCGTTTGACGACGACACCGACGGCGGCTTCGCGGCCGCTGCCGGCAGTATCCCCAAGGACTCGAACGGCGGGTATGCCTCGACCTGGGGCGAGTTCGATTTCAGCAGCGCCGGGAACGGTGGCTGGTCTGGTTTCGATGTTTCTGCCATCCAGGCGCAGAATGCGGGCTTGACCGTGCAGGGCATGAAGATCTGTGATGCGCTGGGTGGCACTTGCTCCAGCATCACTCCTAATGCGGCGTCCGTTAACAATGCTTATACCTCTGCCGAGGCGGCTGCTGGGGGTATCGGTGGGAACATCTCTGGTGGTGGTGCCATTCGCCTGGCTGTTACCATTGACTACAGTGGTTAAGTTTGGACAGTTGGACTACAATGAACGCAGCAAGCAAATATGGAAAATTATATAGATAGAATATGGTTGCTTTGATAGCGACTATAGACGAATGACACTCGTTTACATTATTGGTTATCCAAGCAAGTAGAAATTATAACACAAATCCTAGTACTATTTGATTCAATGATTGGATTGGCTATATCAGATAAGCATCCGTCCAAGAGTCCGATATAGTATGCCTGATTCCTCAAGCTCTGCCAGTAATCCGACGCACTAGCAGAATCCCGAAAATCATCGGGCTTCGCGATGCCAAGACCTGTGACACCACGATACCTCCGATGGAGAGGACATCATCGCTTTTGGTCCTACATACAGGTCTACTCATCATAGCTAATAACTGTTCATATCACCGACATTATCTCCTGCCCTATTTCCGATGTAAACTTCCTGTCGTCATCTCCTGTAGCACCAGCAAGGTATAAATTCCTCGATAACCCCCGACACTTCTTGTCCCAGCAGTCCCAAGACAACTCCAACACAAATACAAAACAACATTCGGATTTCTCCAAAAAGACATTAAAATGGCTCAAGTTTGGCTCATCACTGGCTGCTCCTCAGGCTTCGGCAGCGAGTTCGTCACTCAAGCCCTTTCTCGCGGGGACAAGGTCATCGCGACCGCACGCACCATTGCCAAGATCGCCCATCTCCGCGATGCAGGCGCTGCAATCTTGCAGCTAGACGTGACAGCCTCCCAGGAAGAACTGAACCAGAAGGCCTCTGATGCGATCGCTATCTACGGGAAAGTTGATATTCTTGTGAACAATGCGGCATACACGCAGTTCGGGACATTGGAGGACATGAAGTAAGTCTCTGACGCGCTATCCACAGGAATGAAATTAACCAGTATCGCACAGCGCTGGCGATTACCCCTCGCAATTCACCACCAACGTCTTCGGAACCATCAACACAACCAGAGCGTTCCTGCCGCATTTCCGTG